AAGAAATTTGTTTTTTTTTTTAATATCATTTACAGTTATATAACAAGTTATTAGTAAATATTAACAATAAAAAAATTATATGTTTTACAAAATTCTAAGAAATTGAGTCATTATATACATCATTATTTCCCTAATTCTCAAATTAAAAGCAGCCAAAATGACTACCTTAGGAAATCTAGTGTTAAACTAAAAATCAAGATGATAAAAAGAACAGCACGGGGGATCAAAATTTCTGTTGCATTGATGCAAATACTTAAACTTCCTTGATTCGGGATTTCAAATCCAAAATTAGTTATGCTTTAATCTAAAATTAGTTTAGTTATGCTCCTAAAACTACAGATTTTTTTAAATGGCGGTTTTAGTCTATTTTTTTTTATCGAAATGTACACGTTTAAAAAAATTACATATAACAGTGGGTCGTGCAAATGTGGTGACAATTTTCTAGGGGGGAAGTTCCCTCAGCGGTTCCCTCATGATGACATTTTCGGGAAATGGGTTCCTTCGCGATTTTAATCCTGAAGATGGGCCCTAGTTTCCCTAGAGGTTTGCCGCAACATTTACGTGACCTACTCTTATTTGTAACATTTTTAAGCCTGTACATTTCGACAAAAAATACACTAAAAATGTCATTTTTCAAAATCAAAAAATAAAATCTACAGCTTGATGAGAAACTGATTGCAGATTTGAAATCAATGATACGAAAGTATTTGAGATCCGTTAAAAAAATCTCATGCAACAGAAATAAAAAATTGTTTCTCAGTGTAATCTTTATAAAATTAAACTAAACACGTGATGTAAAACATTAATGACTCATTAAAAATGTATTAGTTTAGAGAAACGAAAAAAAATTAGCCTAATATTAATTTGGCTGGCGAAACCTTCTAAATAGCTTACGACAATCTTTTAACGCGTTCTGTTTTCTCATATGCAATAAGCTCAAAAAACTATTTTGTTGTTTACCCAATTTATAGTTTATTCGATCTGATCAAAAACAAAATTTGAAATTCATGATTAAAAAAAACTGATATGAATATTTTAAATGCATAATTTAAATTTTGTATTTTTCCTCTCACTTTTAAATACTACTTCTCAATAAATTGCAAATAAGTGTATAACTGAAATAACATCATAGTGCAAATCTATAGGTTGTTTAAAATTTAGTAAACTAATTTCAACAGGTTTCTTATAGTAAAGATATGAGCAGTTTTATTTAATTTTGATTTGAAATAATATAAAATAAAATCAAAAATTTTAAAAACTACGTTTTCCAAAGAAACTAAAGAGGAAAAAATAATCCTACTTCTTTTTGCAAACGAAATATAATATCCGTAAAGTGCATCATTCTTTAAACAAGCGTGTGTAATAGAGAATAGTTTTCGTTGTAGTGTTGGATGATTACAAAACTAAGGTTCCTTAAATTTATGTTTTCTGTAGGGCAAAATCAGAATTATTTTCACCTTTTTAGTTCACATGCAAAGCATAATTTTGCATGCGAACTAAATACAAAACAGCGAACGTAACCAAATGTAACTAAACGAAATAAACGTAAATTTATTTCAAAAATTTATACGGATTAAGCGATCAAAACCCTAATTCAAAACTGGGTTCTTGCTGTCAAATTTTACATAACTAAGCTCCTTGATGTCAACATAGCAAATTGACATTTATAACTAAAATGAAAGCAGATTTTAGATTAATGTGCATCTTATCAAGTGAACTGTTCTAGCGTATTCCATTTTATTTTATAATCGTCATTGAACAACTGACCCAATTCTGAGTTTGTGACTACCAATGTTGTAATTTGTAATTTTGCTTTGTAATAGCTTTGTAATTTTGAACCCTACTCAGAAGAGAAGCGAACTCCTGGATCAAGTATTTGGAAAAATCAGTTTTCATGAAGGACTTTTTCATGGAACTAACCCACATTTGCGTTACATGGAGAGGAAAACCACAAAACCTCCCATGGTTACCCTAACGAAAAGGGGTCACCAACTCATGATCCATCTACAGCTGAAGACAAGAGGAAGACCATGAGAACCTCCCAAGGTTAGCCTGGCGGCAAAGGAGCTGTAACTCGTGATCCGTCTACCACTGAGGATATTTAACGTCAGCACTGTGGTCAGTGCAAGCCGGATTCGGATTCGTATCGACCAGCCATTGGTGGGATTCGAACCCGGTTCACCTCATTGGAAGACAAAATGCTCTATCCCCTGAGCCATCACGGCTCTGGTATAAATATATTGGAAATAATAGATTAATTTATTCTAAAAACTTATTTTAATTTTAAGCTTCGCTTCCATGATCTTTGATATCAATAAAATATCCCATAATTTAAATTCAAAATCTCTATTAAATGGACAGAATTTATAAAATAAATAAATAAATAAAAACTTAACGAAAGTTGTATTGGTAAATTTATCAGGTCCATCTAAACTCCCATTTGTGATACTAACCGAACAAAGGCATTGCAGTAATTTACCAATACAAATAACCCGACAACGTTCTAGAATTGAATTACATTCCCTGAACCATCCTCAATCTTCGTGCTAAACACCGGTTACAGGTGGACGGAGAGAGAGAGACAAAGAGAGCTGCTTTGTGTAGGAGGGCGATTAATTTTCTGAAGTTCCAACTAAAGAGGGATTACTTGTCTGGCTCTGAAAACCTTAGACACATTTATGAGATCTTCCCCTGAAAGTGATAATGCACAATACCATATTTGGTGATTAAGTCCTGTCCTCGAGTTAATTTGTTATCGGGTTGGTTTAAATTGTGACTGTCTTGACAGTGATTAAGAAATTAAGGTCCGTCACTCAACAGAAGAGAATAAAGTGTGTGCTCGAGAAAAGGGATTTTAGAGATTAGAAGGAGAATAGTTTTCGAAAATTTGAACAGTGTAAATATTCAGAATGAAAAGAAGATTTGTTAGTATTTAATCTTATTAAACCGTCAACCGAAGTTGCTTGCTTAATTTTAAATTCGTTGTAAAAACTTGTATACTTCTCTATCAGTTAGACGGTCTACAATGTTGACTAGGTTTGAGTGAGGTTGATTTATGATAGAGTTAATTGATTTATGGTGTTTAAATACGTTTAGAATTTTTAATATATCAGTAAAATTCCAACAACTATTGGTCAAATTTTAGAATACAGCAAGAGTGGCTTTTTATAACAGATGTCTTTGATTTAAAATAAATTTTGGAAAAGTTATGAGAAATTCTGTATAGCTTGTATTTGCTTATAAGAATGATATTATAAACATGAATCCAAAATTTTTGTTTTAATTACGCTCACCTTCTGCCACAAAAAAAATCATACTTCTGTGATTTCTGGAAGCATCCATCTAAGCACAACCTTACATTCACTTGAAATGTTCTCATTCCAACTAGTTCCACAGTCAGATGTAATCGTTTGTGCATTACTACTACCATGATGTACAACCCTAAAATGTGATGTTAATATCCCTATTGTAGTTCTATTGCTATTAGTGTCTACTCTTCATTTAGGAAATCCTTAAACTTTTCTTAGCTCTTGGCATTCATTCTTCTAAAATGAACGAAAAAAACTACGAAAAAGAAGATTATTAAAAAGCCCATTATGTATGTTACCTGTATATGAAAAAATACTTACATTGTTCGAAATATTTAGGCAGTTTATGGAATGTCTGCCTAATCTATATATATATATATATATATATATATATATATATG